TGAACAGAGAAATACTCGAACGACTGCTGGAAATGGTGGTTGCCAGCGCCAATCCAGCTGCTACTCTACGGTCAACATTCATCAGTAGTCCAATACTATACAGGAATCTCAAAGATAAACTGTCCGCCTTCAGTACATCAATAGTTAACAAATCATTTAATTGCGCCTGTAAGGCAAGTTATGTAGATCAAATTAAGGATCGTTTGACACGGACAATAAGAACTGGTTTGACTGAGTCCTGAAAACAGTAAGAAGCTCAGTCTTAGCCCACCACGCAGAAACGTGGCATCAGGTTGGCAATAGCAATTCCGAAGTGATTTACCGAGTACCCTCTATTACATCAAAGCTTGTGCGATAAGATAAATCAACAATAGCGGAAATAGACTGGTAAATCCATCTCTGTGTAAAGACAAAAAGCTGGTCAATGCATTGCACGCGCTCCGAGCCTCGAGTTGACATAGCAATTGAATTTGAGCATGTGATGAAGACGTCCGATTGCATCACATCAGAGACATCCCAAAGACATAATAATATGCCACAATCATTCATAAACTTTTATGACCAGTAATTAGCCGATCCGAGATAAAATTAGACGTTATGGAATCTTTAGAAAACAGCGTACTTGGTCGTATGAAGCCTCGTATCATGCAGATGAGAAAGACAACGATACTGAAAGTCATCTCTACCAATGTGGGTACTTTTTTGAGGAAAATGTATGACTTGACCTATTTTGTAACAAGTTCAAAATGTTCCAACAACAGACGCGACTATGGTGCTGTAGATACAGTATGCATTGGAACGATCGTATCTATCAGATACGAAATTGTGGAGGGGATCGAGAAACTTTCTTTGCGCATACTTTCAAGAGTTATTTAAGTACTTTAACATATTCACAGGGGAAGTACAAACCTAGATTTTTCAGTAAATGGCGATGTCCTATCCGATAAAATCCACACACTCTGCACTTGTCTGCCCAGCAACGGGTGTTTCTGTAGTTACTAACAGACTCTTATTGGAACTGATAGAGTTTGCTGAAACGTCACCTCTTAACGTCGCTGGCGACTTCAATCTCCAGTTGTTTGTTTTATTAACTACTTGACAACGAAAACTACGGTCCATTCCCATTCTAAAGCCAATTCTAAGCTAGACTTCCTGTTAATGAACGACTCCCATGTCATATATGTTGAAGAAAAAAGCCTCCCGTTCCATATCAAACCATTATGTAATCGAGGTCTCTCCGAACATCTAATCTGGTCATTGCACGTACACATTCTCATTGGATCGCAGGATCCAGTAGGTGACGTGTATCACAGAAAATGTTACGTTGTCGTGAGAATAGATGACCAAACAGTTTTAGAGCAGTTTAAAACCATCGATTTCTCATTTGAACTTTTTTCTTTCATGTACTGTCCACAGGAGTTGATATAAATCTAACAAATCAAGCCTTTATGATAAATTCATAAATGAAGGGAATGAAAAACATCTTTACTGAAACCTTGTATAGAAATTATTGGCATCGTCAAAATTGGGAACACAGTAAAAAACTGCGGTTTGAGCTGGGCATCACACGAATCCGAGAAAACAGGTAGACAGTTAAATCACACATTCTTCTATACCGACTCTCAACGTATCACCAATGGAATCCACTAATGGGTTTTGACAAAGCCCAGTACAAATCGTCTTCCACCGACAAGCGTTGACTGGGTTACAGAAACTCAAACCGATGAAGGTAGTTGGACTTCGATCAACCGTTTTAAAAGTGTGCGGAACCCTTCTCGGCATTTTCAACTAGTCCACCAAAGTAAAACATTGAACCTGATTGCTGAAGACCAATACACATCAATCCCGTACTAAAAAAGAAATCTCGACAGCTTGTATATTTACTCTTGCAAAAGTTTTCGAACCTTTCAAAGTCTCATAGGTAAGAACATGCATTTATATTTGTGATGAATGTCAGATTGCTTTTCATGGCAAACGACGAAGATTAGACGTTCTGACATATCTGGTCAATTCTGCCTTGGTTTTCACTCGACTGGGCTAGTAAATCCTTTTAGAATATGGAAATGAAGTCGATTGTATCGACAGAGTATTGCATAAATCCATTCTACATGTTGAATGTTTGCCTCTATCCCTTCTGTAATTGACTGGGGATTATTTCAATTAGGAAGTTCGGTTCAATTCCCTCATTAGTGTGACAGTTCAGTCCATTCCTATTCACCGCAGAGTGCTCTAAGGTATCATCCTAACTCCCTGTTTCTTTTTTCTTGAGATCTGCGAACCGTGCCTAAGGCTCTTAACAAACTCCAGATATGATATGCCACCGATGCTACGACCGAAACTAAACCCACTGGTAATTTTCGAGTCTCAGAACTTATTGATTGTTTGTCTATCGTTCTATCATTTGTGTCAAAATGTATCCAGATGCAATGTCGTTCTCTTTACATTTGTCAAACGTCAAAGTTAATTTTAACCACTGGCAATAACGGAGTACCTGAATTTCGGTTAATGAAGTATCTCGCAATGACGCCATTCCCAGAATCATATCTAACCTGAGCATANTGGTAATACAATCAAAAGGTACGGCTTCTATCGTTTCACATTTTGCCTGAAATCTTCAGAAATCCCCCCACCCGTCTTGCTGCCGGCCTTCAGTAAAAGATGTCATTCGGCATAGAACCCTGTAATAATGCGTTATCAATCTCGATTTTTCCATTCCACAATTCATTCACTGAGTGTACATCATCAGTCATCAGATCTGAAAAAATGTTACTCTACCGTAAGACATCTGCATACCGCAAGTGAATCCAAACCTATCATACCTTCAGTTAAAGTCCTATTACAATGAACCCTTCCTCCTCTTCGCCGTAGATCATTAAGATTTGCCCCTGCGTTATACTGAAATCATCCCCGTGAATAAACTATATCAGGCTATTTCATTCCTCTATTTATATCCCTCGACAGGTCTGTAAACAACTGGATTAGTTCTACAGTTCCAAGGTACTCGCACACCATTGTCACTATTTATTGGCACTTTCGAAGAATGTTAGCAGTAGGCCCTAAATGAGGGATGACAACTGTGTTCAGTCTTTGAGAGAGCACGACCTGCATGGATAAATGGATGGTCAACATCGAGACAATCCGGAAGTCTCAACTGTTGGTCGATACATATCATAAAAGAATTGATTTGAATAAACAAACGGGCTTCTGGTGCACAATACCAATCGGAAAATAAAATCAACTGTCTCGTGGGTTTATTTAGAGAGGAAAAATAAAGCATAGTGGCATCAAATCAAGTGTTGGGATAATTTAACTCCCATTCATATCATTGAGAATTGCACAGGTAAGTTTGGAGCTGTCTGATTGGTTCCCACATACATGCGTATGCATGCACGCACGCACACACAAGTTGTCAATGCTTGGGCGCTTATGGAAGCTGAACTGCCGCTACTCGCTCACTCTTCTGTACACGGCCCAGGTTGATCAGGGGGAGTGACTGAAACCAGAGTTCGACATGATGAGAAGAGCATGGTGGAGTTAAAACATAAATCACCGGAACCGTGTCCGGAGCGAATCAATCCTTATGATTTCGCATATGTCTGAACAGGTTTGTCCGTTGAGCAAACGCACGGGAACATTTGGTACAAGCGAACGGGCGCTGACATTGATGAATATTCCGTATATGACGCTGCATATTAGACGAGATACTGAACCGACGTGGACAATAGGCACATCGATATGGTTGTTCACCCGTGTGTGTACGTAAATGTCTGTTCAAATTAGCGGATCTGGGAAAAGATTTCACACAAAACGAGCACTGATATCGATTGGTCGTATGCTCTGAATCCAAGCGACAAGCTTTTATGCGCAAATCATGCGCCAAATTTGAAACGGACAGTGCACGTCGTGGAACGGATGCCTGGGTCGAACAGGATGACACTTCTCTGGCTTCGTAAGATTTGCAAAGTTGTTCACACAAAACGGGTATTTCCGAACATGCCTCATTCTGTGAACAGTTCAGAGATTGTTCATTTCTTGTTTTCAGTTGCGATGCTTCCGAGTCAGATGACCTAACCGGATAACTTGTTTTTGATAGCAACTGGCAATGTTCGGACCACACTGCTGGGTTCAATGCTGTTCGAACCGGATCTTTGCTGATACACCAGCGAGCAATAAGATTGATGCACGCGTTCTCAATCACAGGGATGTTTAGATCATTTGCAGATGCCAGATGGGATGAGGAGGATGAAGGCAGTGACGGGATCTGACCATGTACACGATCTTGTATCAAACCTAAAAATCAAATAGTGAAAGAAGAATCATGGAGCTGTAATGAACGAAAATCAATCGCGGAATGTGGGAACCTCAGAAAAAGTAAGTAACATTTCTTACAAGACTATAAAATGGTACTCTTATTCAAGTGCAAATAGAACATCACGTTTGAGGTGTTCGTGAATACATGATGTGTAAATAGAGTGATAAAGGTAGAGGATATAAACAGCATTGGTTGGGGCAAGGTATGCTGGAAACAAACAAGCAATCCAAATGATCAGGCAGTAATATGTTATTGCGTTTTTATTTGGATTATATGATCAAACTACTTATACATGGATTTGAGTAGAAAGGTTAAAGTTACAAAAGTTGATCTTCTGTCATTGTTTGGATCTATAGATCTCGCCATTTTTACATTCGCGTTTTGCATTCTGGTTTGGTATAATTAGTAGTACAATTCAAGAGAATTTAAGTGAGTGAATTGCGCGCTAACAAATCAATAGTGGNACAGAGAACCTCATCACAATTGGACGAGCAGATTTTACAGGAATATCTACTCGACGACTATATAAATAAAAATGAATCGACATCTCGACAACTAAAACCTATATGTTTCCCAACTGAATCTCAGAACCAAGTTAGCCTTGATCAGGAACTATAACGTTGCTTACACCGCCGCCCACATAGAAGCCGTATTATTGGCCCCAGGAGTAAGTGTATATGATTGAGGGACAGACATAAAAAGAGCTGGTGCGATCAGGTAGGCAGGTACAGATTACTTACCGATAGATGTAAATGCACTTGAGCGGTTTTCACACGTGTCGCTATCTGATTCTTCCTTGATCTTTGGTATACTTTCGGATTCGGGTTCTGGAATCTCCCGACCGCAGGGTGTTAGGTTTTTAATGGGGGAAGTGCCACCGAAAATGAACGGTCGATTTGAACTAATTGATGATGGAAATGTGCCGGTGCATGCTTTCGTTGCAAAGCGTCGGAGCAGATCGATACCCCAACTGGGATCACGATAGAATGNNTGAATTCGAACACGAATATGGACTTTCGTGTTCAGTAACTGAAGTCATGAGGTTCATCAGCCAAGGTTGAAAGATGGTGGAATAGGAACCAAATGAAGCATTTCTGATGTCCATGGTTGATTGAGTCGTATACGACTCCGGTGATGGATCTTCATGTTCAGAACATGTTGTCCTGGGATTTGCGGATAACTCCATTTCTTTACGACATGCAAGAGGATAACTGGACGCTTTAGGTAGACTGAGATCTAAAGCTTCTGTTGAATAGTCCTTTGTTGCTTCTGAGTAAATGGGCGTGCTATCCGTTACCGAAGAACATTTCGACAAGGTAGAGCAACGTAACAATGCGGCCTCATAACTTTTTACGCGAGGTTCCAACATTAATGGTATAGTTTCAGGATTCAGATCTGTACCAAACTGGACGGAACCCGGTTTTCGTCGATGACACTGAGGTTGGAGTCGGGTGTGACGACAAAGATTGCTGTACTGAGTATATGCCCGATGGCAATGCTGAGAAAATCAAGAAAGGGTGGAAGAAATCACCGTCATGAGCATCATCATCACAATCATTTGACTTGACTTGTAGTGAAATAAGGTCAAAACAAACTTCACTGAGTGATGCTTATGTTTATAACATTGCAAAGCGAATGCGAATGTAGAAGGGGGAGAGGGTGCAGGCTTGGTTGGAGACGGTGAACCGAGGAAGGGAAAAGGGAAATCATTTTAGTCGACATGACAGAATACACAGTTGAGTTGTGCATACGTACTTATTTAGTCTGATGAGAGATGACAAGAACACCAACACCGTATTTGCATCCGGTCCAATTACCTGTACGTGATTTTCTTCACCATGGAGCGATAATTATGAACAAAGAACACAACTAACAAAGCTTAATTGTCCGAAATGGGTTTGGTACCGAACTTCAGTCCAAAGCGGCAAACCTAAGTGATACCAACTCCAAGCTCAAAACCTTTAGTCGACATTGTCTTCCATACACAAACATTAAGTCTCACAAACGCTAAACAGAAACGATCGCATTATGGCACGGAACGTGAGACCTTTCAGTTTCAGTGAAGCGTCATGTTCATCTCCTTTAGCCTAATATCGTCATTGATTACGCAACTCAAAATGTAAGAGAAGCAACCCAGTATAATCAACTTCTCATCACCAAGCTTCACAGAAAGAGCAAAATGGGTGAAGAAAATTAAGTGCGGTTTTGTCATAACTTTCAACATTTATATTACCGACCAACAAAGCAATGATTGCCAAGTTCACCGAACTGAAATAAGTACTGTTGTGCTTTGGGGATTACTTCATAATGTTATATGTAAGATTTTACATATTTAATATATACTTTTCACCAGATATGCCTGTGATGACAACCAAGTACAGATAATTTACAAAGTGGTGCGACAGTGCACACACGAGGCAGGCCAACGGACGTATCTAAAGTAAATGATACATCGTTGAAAGGCGGTATCCCGGGCTTGGCTACCTGCAAAATAACAGTAAATGCAACTCACACAACAAATATACGGCTTGAAAGTGGAATGCACATGCATGTGCTGCTTGAGGCCGGCTTCGACACGAAATTCCTTGAAACAAATTGGGCAGGTATGGAAACTTCTACCGGCTTTGAAATGATCCTTCCTGTGGTTTTCGAAACTTGACCGTGACTGGAATTCTTTATTACAAGTCAAGCGCCAAATGTTTCCTTGAGATTCCGGCCTAGTGTCAGTCAGCGACGAAGATCCGACTGAAAAACCTGCGATTCCCGGTTCTGTGAATCAGAATGAAGTATAAATGACAAAATCCACCGAATGTGATCCTTGAAGTTGCGTAAGAACAAGAGGCAATCAGCGAATCTTTCTTGGAAACAATCGTTACCAGCTGAAAACTCCCTCTACATTGGCTGATAGACACTGGCATCATGAATACATAACACTGGGCTGACCGGAAAAGGAGTTCAGGGATAAAAATTACTGGAATGCTTGAAGTCATTTCAATCATTTGACTCGATCGGTGGGACCCGTTATCTCATCGGAAAGAATGATATATGACATCCAACCTGCCTACTATGGTAACCCACTCCAAACATGTGACCACTTTTTTGTCCCAGTTTTCAAGCGCTCATGTATAGTCCACTTGAAAACGCAAGCCCGAAATCTGCCCAATCGTCCAGCTGGTGGGAAGAACATATGAAAGTTTCTTTGTAATAGTTACAAGTAGAAGCGCCCGGAAATTGTCTCCGACATACATCACGAAATGTTACGCTATTGTTATCGAGAAAACGCAGCACAAAACATCTTACTGGCACAAAAAATGTGAGAAATCGAGAAATAATTACCTGAGGATAACTGAATCCCAAAATTTGCCGTTGAATGAAATCCGGCGTTCTTTTCTATCGATTGCTCGTTTTTGATGTTTATTCTGTTCGACTAAGGTGGAGAACAAAAAAAAACAAAATTAGTTTACATAGATAGACGGACGTGGTAAATGGTTTTTGCATAGCACAACAGGAATCGGGGGCACAGATGACCGAGAAAAGTGACCGTGATAGGTGCCGATATCGGTTAATAGCCGAAGCCGAGTCCGAGCTTAGGGTACTTTTCCACCTGAGTTCACCACAGGAAGTGGTGTTGGACAGGTTTGCCCCCCTCTCTCCCTTTCCATTCAACTTTATCATAGATTTGATCCTTGAAACGTGCCTATTCTCCTTCGAGTGTAACGGTATCGATTTACTCCCAGGCAGCAGACTGTATGATGTATGTATGTAGGGTATGTAGATATTGTGCTACTAAGTGAAGATCCAGGTAAGTTGCAAGTTTTTCTGGGAAGCTTGAATGCCAGCGTAGCCATGCTTGGTATGTGCTTCACACCTTCAAAGCGTAAAATTGCTACAAAATTGGGTTGGTCCAGCCCCCAACCTCACCCTGAATGAGGAAGTAGTAGAGCAAATAGGCAATTTTTTCTATCTGGGCAGCTATATCTCACCTGGCGAGATACAAAAGGCTCGGTTGGCATTGGCCAACTTGAGACGTCTGTGGCGCCGTCGTAACACCCGGTCGACTATATGCTGCTGCAGTTCGGCCAGTGTTTCTCTGTGTTGCAGAGACTTGGCCATTAAGAAAACAGGATAAAGACAGACTGCCGTTGCTCAAACACCACTGTCTACGTCGCATTGCACGAGTCTGGTAAGGTAACCAGACGAGCAATGCTGAGGTTAGGCGTAGAGTCTTATGTAATCGCGGTCGTCCACTAGAGCAAGTAGTCGACCTTCATAGATTACGCTGGTTGGGACATGTGTTACGCATGGAACTAAATAGGTTGCCACGGAGAGCGATTGGTAGCGGTTGGAAAAAGGTTAGAAGTGGTCAAACGAATACCTGGCATAAGAGTATGAAAACCATAACCAGGAAACTGGGTCACATAGGTCTCGTTAGGCTCCCTGGCTGGGGACCTCGAAATCATGGTCACCGATGGTTAGAGACATTGAGCGATATGACTGAGTGTCGCAAACAGCGGCGCTCATGCATCTCATTATTCTCCTAACATCAGTCTATATAAATGCGCTATCTTCCGCTTGAATTTGCCCTCAACATCCTAATCTTCAGTCTACTGTTTTATCCAAATGGGCGGCCAAAAAAAACAGTAACCAAAACCGGCGCACGAAAGTGCACGGCTAATGTTAGTAAAAACTGAACCGAACCGAACTGCCGATGTCGGTAAATTACATGACATAATTTTGAGTTATCAGAATTTATTTCATTTCACGAACAGAGTAAGTTCCACGTACTTATCATTTTTGTCATCATTTTTATATGTGAAATTGTCAGTCTG